TTTTCTGCCTGAATCATGGATACATCGAAGGCACACACTGTTGGGCATTTTATTTGATTTACACACTTACATTGCTTCGAGTGTGGATGTACGATCTGTTGCTGTTTATCTTTATTATCGTACTGCTTTCTGTCAACCGCTGCGTATGCGTTATAATATTGAGTACAAACTATTACTTAATTGACACCCAAAACTGATTTTCCTTTTGTAATGGAACCGAAAATGGACTAAACCGTACTGATTTTGCACGCAAATCAAGAAGTTCGGGGAGTTGCTATTCTAAAAATTGGTTGCTTTTGCTGCTGCTGTTGTTTTGTACCGTTAGTCGCGCACACACACGTACACGCACACGCATGGAGGGGCACCACTCACACACTCACGCACACATTCAACGAGATTTATGTAACACACAGCTGAGCCGAAGAAAAACTTTTACAAATTTCCTGAACAAAAATATTAAGACCGTTTGCTTGTTCACGTTTTGGTTTTTTTGTTTTGTTTTTGCTACTTTTTTATGCCCTTAAGGCAGCCATTTTGTTTTTATCGGGTTTTCGAGGTGGGTGGCGGCGGGCGAAGGGGATAAAGGGGTTTATGGGTCTTTTGTTTGTTTAGTTGCTGTTTTGTCTTCTATTTTTTGTTGTCTATTTTTCTCTGTTTTGCTAGATGTTTGTTGGTCTCTTGTTCGGTTCGAATTGCACGGCTTTTGTTCTGCTTGCACAAACTTGCACGCTCCACGGTCCACGATGTACTGCGCTAACGGTATTTACGTCGGAGAACCCAAAAGTCCGCACACAGTCCCATACCAGAGAGCAGAGTGAGCAAACAAAGAGAGTAAAACTGAAGGAGACCATTTATGGAGAGTAGCCACGCTCCCTATCTCTCTCTCTCTCTCTCTCGCTGTCCTGCGGCCTCTGTCACGCCCGTGGCTTTGATTTTAACAGTTTAGCAGAGCGGAATCCATTTATCGTAATGTTACATTTTTACAGTGACAAAATTCTTAGATTTTATCAGTATGCGCTAATGTAGAGGCATAAAGCGGCTGCAATATTTAGCTTTGAACGTTATATTTTCGTCCGTTTTCCCACTAAAACTTTATCTGTTTGGATATTCCTGGATATTCTTTTTAAACGGGATCGTTTAAGAATGCTGCTTAGACATTATAATGACCGTTTTGTGGCTGTTTTAACAGTTTTGTTGGGTTCTAAGCTTCCTTGCCACCAGAACCGTTGCCTACTGTTCGGCGTTGCTGTTATCTAACAGCGTTCTGTAAACTTCAAAAATTTCACTCTATTGTTGTTGGCTCTTTGTTGCTATTTGGCATCAAACTTTCACTATCACAATTCTATATGTAGGGACATATCACGCTCTCTGTCTTGTTAACAGTTGGAATGCCTGCTTCAAGGTGCATTCGTATAAGGTAAGGCCTTTGTCAACGATTGCACCCAAGAAATATAATTTGCCTGCGTGCTTCTTCTGCATTCCAAGCCCCTTTAAGTTGAGACTTACATATGCTGTAAATGAATAATACACTATTGGAAATTAGTTGGATCACCTTAAATAAAAGGCACCTTGGTATGCCTGCCGTCCGATGCTCCCTGTCCTCCTGCTCTCTCTCCTTCTCCCTGTGAACTTGCTGTTGTTGTTGGAGAGTGCGCAGGCTCTCAGCGCGCGAGAGAGAGAGAGAGCTGATGTTGTAGTTGTTGCTGGCTGGTTGTTGCCTTTTTCCACTTGGGGGCTTGTTTTCGGTTTTCAATGTTAAGTGCGTAGAAGAAACTGTATGCAAAAGAGAGAGGGAGACACCCATAGAGAGTGAGAAAGCGCAACGATAGCGATAACGACAAGTGGAGGCGACAACAGAAGAACAGACAGACAGACAGACAGAAGAGATAGAGGGGAGCGTCATGAAATGCGCGTGGAGTATTCCCCTGGCGTAGGGCGCTGGCAATGCAAAATTCTCCATGGTTCCGCCCACACACACAGACACACACGAGTATGCTGCTATGCTGTAGCAAGAGGCAATGACACACAGTCACACCTACATAAGCATGAACATATTTATACAAAGACAATCAGCGCCACGCAATTATTTATTAATTATACCATACGATTTTGTGCACTGCGCCTTACAACGCTCACAATACAATTAATTTAGTTTATATTTCTTTCTGTTTAAATGATACTCTTAAAGCGTATTTATGGGGTGTGGTGACTTTTTGGGACGTTAGGTCAATGACAGGAACGAAGGACCATGAGTGCAGAACATTTTAATTACAACTCTGTAAAGATTATTAAAACGATTTACTTTCTTCTGTCAAAGAAATATCATACACAATTTAATAATGCAGTTTCATAAAGTACATACTCGCTTCAAATCAATTATAGGGCATCTAATGCTCGTATTGCTGTAATATATTTTCACTTTTCTTATCATGCTTCAGCTGTGGCTGTTGTTCTTCTCCTGCCCCTTCTTCTTGTTGCCATTTGCGTTAGGCTTCGTTGAAGTCTTTGTAAATTGCAAACAGCTGTTTGTTGCTGCTCTCTCTTTCCCCCTCCTTCCCTTTTGCACTCATCCTTCGACTACGCAGGCATAGTACCCGTGCGTACCCTCTCGATTTCACTCGACTGCGTGGGCCGCAGGTTGAGTGACTGTCTGACAGGCAGGCTGCCTGATACAACACTCACATTCAGAACTGAATCCTGTACACGTTCGGATGGGGAGTGCGTGTGTACGTGTGTGTTATGTAACTGTAACTGTTTATGATTGAATTTTTCGCTTCGTTTTGGCCATTAATTTTTGTGGCTGCCATCCTTCTTGCGCATTGTTAGCGGGGCGCGTGGCATAGCATTGCGGCCACGTTAATTGAAAATTTCTATTGCTGTTGTTCCTGTTTGCCTCTTCAGGCAGCATAGCATAAGCAAGGGCATAGCCTTGTTGCCATATTGTGGTAAGGATAAGGGCCTCCGAAGATATTGAAGTATGCCTTTTTTCGAGCGGATTTTAATTGGGGTAGGACATTTTATGTATTAAAATGTATGTATTGAACGGAAAACATGTTTCCAAGGAATATTTTAATACAAGAATTTATGTAAAGTAATTAAAACCACAATCAATAGAAGATTTTCAACTCTTAGCCGAATGTATTAAAAGTGTCCATAGATTTAAATCAACCATTTAGCAAATAGAAACTAACTAGAAAATATAAAAAAGCTTCTGACAATGGCCGTCTGCCATTTCCTAGAATTTTTGACGATATGAATAATAAATTAGATGCTATTTTATGGCTCAAATTTCGTGGAATACATTTTGTATTTATATTTTCATGAGTATTTTAAAGTGAATTTTTAATAAACTAATGTACATATGTACGAAACGTACTTTAAGAAACAAATTTCCACCGCCTTCCTGAAAGTATGCATCACATTTATTTCACCCTGCTTCTGCCAGCCACTCGTGCGTATACGCAACGTACACTCCATAGGAAGAGGAGGATGCGGAGGAGCGGAAGGGGCAAGAAGAAGCAAGCATTACACACACCATCAAGCAAGCATGCAAGAAAACAAACAAACAAACAAAAAACAGGGAAACATTCAAACATTTTGTGTCAATCTGTCAGTCATTCACTCACTCAAAGACCCCCTCCCTTTCGGAGCCACAATGCCCAATGTCGGGCCCGCTGATAAACAGGAATCGATAAAGAGGGCGTACGTGTTGTACACACCTACCGCCCCAGTTCCCCTTCAACGCTGAGTTCTGCTTATCAACGGGCACATAGGAAATACAATACAAAAAGGGATACAATGCGAAGGAGGAGGATGTCTCCCGGCTCAACAAAGGATAGCAATGGGTAGGGCAGGATGTACAGATATATGTATAAATATATGTGTTATACAACACGCGTGTGTATGAGCATTTAACGCGGTAAACGTAAATCAATAAACGCACAGAACGGAAATTATCAACACCTGTAAAAGATAATTGACGCGAAATTAAATTATATGTTGCCGCAGCATGTGGCAATAATGATGATTCCATTAAAACACAAACCTTGCATACCCCCGTCCTCACCAAAACCCACTCGATGCCGCTAGTACCTGTCTTTGACAGTGCGTTACACAGTTGAATGAATGGAACATCTATACATACTTACTCGTGTGTGTCAAAATGATAATTCTAATGAAACTCTGCCAAGAGTTATTCTGAGAAATAGCTGGAAATTGCCGACATATTGGCGCGTACTTAACCTATGCCCAGTATAACTTTACCCGTAAAACATATCCCTTTAATTGATGAGGGAATCGTGGCAAAATTCAGGAATATTTCTTTCGATTTCTCATGCTTTCCAGAAGGTATCCTTGCTGCTGCTTCTTGTTTATGCCAAAATGGTTACAAGGACAACCCGATTATGAGAATCTATAAATGAATGTGTGGGTTGGGTTCTTTTGGGTTGGGTTCTCTTAACATTTGACCTTACTTAGCTCACTTAGCGCGAGGGCTGGCGGTAGAGCGCTGTGGCAGGATGAGCAGAGAAAGCGTTGACAATGGCCCAAACAAAAGAAACAGAAAACAGACAAGCAGATAATGGACGTGGCGATAGTGGGGCGGAACGGAGACCAATGGTAAAATGTATTTACATAGCTTACACAATGTATGGTCGGAATAAGCTCCATTGTTTTATGCATGCAAATAGAAACAATGCCGAGACGAAGGGACGATGGAACGAGACATTCAGAGATGCTCCGCATTCAGATTGTAGTCTCCGGAGGTGTGCAGCGACAGAGTTTCGTGTCAGTTTTAGGGCATTCGTTGGACACTCAAAGCTTACCGCTAACTAGGTGTGCATTTGCATTCTTTGGCCAAGACACAATGGAATTTTGTGTTGAGTGTGAAGGCTACTTCGAATCGGTCTACACTTGCACCAAAACAAACACAATTCCACAAGCACTCCAAGCCATTTTACGCCCCTTAATTTATTCCTTTAATAAATGTTCAAACATTTAAATATGAAATTCCCGTGATAGCATTTAAGTAAATTTAATTTGTTGGTTTTGTTTCTTGATTTGATGGTCTAATACAAATTGAACTCGTTTCGTTTTCTCGTTCGCGTTCGCTTCACATACAAATTCCACTAAATTATAAATTAATGAACTAATAGTAGGATGCGGCGGCAATGGGGCAGTCACAGTCATGGGATGAGACTACAGCTCGGTGTGAGCGTATTCCTCGTGCTCGTGATCCTTATCCTTCGGCACAATAAACAGACCCTCCGCCGTGGTCCAGCGCGTGCCATGCTGCGGCCTGTGCAGGCCTACGATCTCCATTTGGCCGGAGATGGGTCGCCCGTAGGAACGTCCCGACATGCCAAGGTACATGCCCGTGTCAATGTGCCGCAGCCGGATATGTGCATCGCGCATCCACTTGTCGTTCGTGCAGACCACCTCCCAGTGATCGCCGGTGTCGCCCACACCGTCCGTGCCGTAGGCGGACACCTCCTGTTCGCCAGAGAGTGGCGACGAGAAGTGATGCGAATGCAGGTTCTTTTTTGTGGTCAAATGCTCTAAACGAATGGTGTACCCACAGGCGATGGGCTCTCCCCGTTCGCACAGTTCGTTCGACTGCGCTTTGATCATCCAATGGCTGTTGACATCCTCCTTTTGCTCCACGCCCGTCACTGACTGCTGTCCAGATCCAGAGCCATATTTAACGTCGTGTGAGTGTAGCCGGAAGGAGTAATCGGAGTTAAGAAGCTTTAGTATGGAGCCACACGTCACCACATTGCTTTGAGTAGCTATAGTCGCAGATGAAGCAAAGATAATAGATCAATAAGTTCTGCATTGTAAAGGGGCGGCGTGGCCAATCACAGAAGACCACATAAACGCCGACTCTGCGGCTTCTTCTCAAAACTTACCGGTGCTGCTGCTCAGGCAGCTAATCAGGGCCAGTACGGGTAACAATAACGTGTGAAGCATCCTCCTTCCTTGTCTTTCCTCTCTTTCTGAGGTTATATATATCTAAAGTAACAATTGTTTTGTACAAATTTTCAATTTTTTGCGTTGAACACGCAAACAAAGTTAGGGATGTAAGATATTTATCGATGTGTGAATATATCGACTAGAAACATTTAGAGATGGTGCACATGTATTGGCTAAAATCTTTGCCGATGCTTCTCGAGCATTGCTATCGAATAGATTAAATCGATACCTGAAGGAAATATATTCAAAAACGCTATATGAAATAGTCTTCAGACTTTGTTTTCTAGATGAGTCCATAATAAGCCATTAATACTTTTTTTGGGAAAGGTTGAATTGCACAATTATACAGTACACTGCATCGGTTAGTGGCGCGGCATATTCAAATATCTATCACAAAAATATCGATAGACTACAAATATAATATACAAAAATAGATATCGCTATACAAAATCAAATCATCCCTAAACGCAATTTTCACCAAAAAAACTGAATAAAAGCGAAAATTGAAAATTGAATTTAAACAAAAATTAATGGCACACAAGCGCTTGTTAATCTACGCTGTGTTACTGGCGATATGTTATTTAGTTGGCGTGACATGGGTGAGTGTCTAAAACCAGTTTGTAATGCGAGAATCACATGACTTTCCACTTATATGTTTCGTCAACAAAGGCTGAGAGTGCATCACAAACCCTACCATTGGGTGGTGGCAGCAGCAGCACCAACGCCGGCCAAGGAGGTGCACTGCCACCAGCGGGCGCAGCAGCGATAGCTGGAGCAGTAGGAGCAGCAAGTGGTCCATCACCCAAACAAATTGTTGTTACTCCTGCTCCCACGGCCTCGGCGCCACCAAAAGTTCTTATAACGCCTGCTCCTGGCCATAGTTCTTCCAACGCCAGCAGCACAGCGACCCCAGCAGCAGAATGGTAATGCAATACCATTCTTGACTCAATATGCTTTGATCTCTAATCTCAATTCTTTTATTAAGTGTCTGTGCTGGGGCTTTGCTTCCCCGTCTGGATGCCAATGGCAAGGAGATGCCCATCTGCGCCGAGTGCAAGTGCGCCCATGTGGCGCGAAACACGACACTTATAAAGGTAGCATGGTGAAACATCTCCCTCAACCAACCAACACCCACAACCCTCTAATTGACTGCGTTTCCCATCCACAGGTCGTTGTCATCATTGTGATTTGGATTATATCCATTTTAGTGATATATATGCTCTTCCTGATGTGCCTGGACCCACTGCTGAATAAGCGCGTAAAGGCCAACTACCAGGAGCACACCAATGAAGATGTACATAGCAAACGTTCTAAAAAATATGCAGGCATACAGTATAGTCTACTAGTCACAGCCCCTGAGATCATCGATGATGATGATGATGAGGCTGAGCTAGTTGACAATAAAGAAGCACCACACATTTGAATAGATTTTAATTGCGAACCTTTTTTGTTTCATTTTTACTTAGCGACATTTTGCTTAGCGACACAACTAACCAACAGATTGAGTTTCCTTAACTCCACACCAATCCATCCACAACTAATGCTAAAATCTTTAACCTCTTCTGTCCCCCAGGATGAGCCGACACCGCCCCTGCCCGCCGCCACTAACCAAGAGCTGAGCGCCAGAGCCAATGTCCTGAATCGCGTCGGTCACCAACAGGACAAATGGAAGCGACAAGTGCGAGAGCAACGACGACACATCTACGACAGGCACACCATGCTAAATTGAACAAATTAGCAAGTGTTTGGATTAGCAGCGAAGGCGACTTAAGACATGTATTCCAAGCAGTAAACCATATTGGCCACTCATTAGTTTGATCAAAATTATCATGTATTTAGCCCCAATTTATTTAAATATATTACAGTAATCAAATCAAACTGTTGATTGGAAAAGTAATTTTTATTCATCGAAAATCCGCCACAAGCTTAAATTATACATCCTATAGGCTGAAGGAGTTTCACTCCTAGTATCCCTTAATGGTGGCAGCAAAGGACCAGTTCTCGCTGACTGTGCAGGGCCCGTCTATGGTGGTGCCGGTGGCATTGCAGACGCCGACAGTGTACTGGGCCATGTTGCGGGTATCACGATAGTAGAGTACCTCCATGCATTTGCGTATCTAGAATCAAAAGCATTGCAATCATGCAGTTCTCGAGAATATAACAGTCTTAGACGTACCAATTCGAAGGCCTCTTCGGCTGTAAAGTCACGGTCCTTTGGCTTGCGCTCGCGCACTAAGGGCAGAGCCAAATGGCGAGCGAATCCGGTGGCCACCACATAGTCCTCATGAGCACGTCCACGCAAATCGACATTAGACAGGAAAGGGGTGCCATCCTGCTCAATGCCACCCACAACCACATCAATGTACAAGGGGTTCATGCGCGAGCGACGGTTGTAGAGAACACGCGTCAGCCAGCTGGACAGAGCCTTGGGCTTCATGGAAATGCCATCCGCGTAGCACTGATCCTCGATCATCTTCTGGTCAATGGTGCGCTTGATCGACTGTATATCGGCAAAGTCGCCACCGCCACCCAAAATGATGCTATCGTTGATTGCAAAAACACGATTAATGTTCTGGTAGCGTGCCAGAGAGCCGTACGAGACCAGTGTGTCGGCGGCAATCATGACGCCGCCATCGTAGCGTATACCCAGAACAGAGGAGCCTGTGGTAATAGAAGAGCTAGCAAGTGGGAAGTTGGCATAAGATAGGTAAATATTAAGTGGATTTCCTTTAGCTAATGCCGCCTTACGTGCTGCGCTTTGTTCCGAAAGGGCCTGCTGTGGTCAGCTCTTTTGGCAACTTCTGGGTCTGCTGCTGGCCACCGGTAAAGTTGTAGAACGCGCCGGGTGTCGGTCCATTCTGCCACATAGGCTGGGCAATGCTGTTGTAGTTGTTCAACATTTTAATTTACTTGTTTTTTATAACAATATTTGTTTGAAAGCAAAAAAATTGTTGAAAATGACGGGCACAAATTGAGTGTTGTATATAGTGTGACCGTGGATTTATCAACAAAATATACCGGCTGTCACTCAAATATATACCAAAATGTGGCTTCTCTTTTTTTAAATAGATAAAGACAATAAATAAAGACAAAAATGATTTATTTTAAGATACTTCATTAGTTTTTTAAGAGTACATATTGATAAAAATACCTAAACAAGTATCAATTTGGAAATTGAAAGCTTAAAATGAAATGAATGCAACTAAAACGTGTTCAGTTACTAGCTAGTGCTGCAAAGATATGGCTGTTCTAGCTATCAAATAAGTTTGTTTGGTTCGAAGTGGCAAACTAGTGTTGAGTAGTGCTATTTTTAGGCTCTTAAAATCTTCTCCCAATTTTTTGCTGAGGTTTTTGAAAATCGCTTAAGTACCATTCAAAAGTTTTCAGTAGAGGAAGCATTGAAAAAATAGTGTTGTTTCCTTGGCTTTATTTTGTACAGGACTCTTTGACTTATTGACCTAATTTTGTTCATACATTTTTAGTGGAGGTGTTTAGTCCACGGGGTGGACAGAAAAAGCTAGATTCTGAAATTTAATTGCAGAATATTAAATACAATGATATGAATAAATAAGTACCAGGTCTAATAACAAGAAAAAACTTGCGAAGTGCCATTAAAAAATTCTTTTTTTTCGTGTGACAGAGGTTTAAATTAAATTTTCTTTCTGAACTGGAATGGACATAAAAATAATAAACTCTTCATTCAATCAACGCGTCTTTGACCTCAAATAAAATTCCTTACGGGTTAATATTTGTATATAATGTAGACATGTTATTCCGCCTAAACTATTATCAACTGAATGAAAATACATATGACATCTTTTAGCTTACCAGCTTCCAGATGTCTAAGGGGATTCTTATCTGAGTCGGGCCCACTCCTGAACTTTTTCCCCAGACAAAATCCCCGACTGCACGTTATCAGCATCGCTTGGAGCTTGGAGCGCTGTACTGATGGAAGACAAGGCACTATAAAAGCTCCCTCTTTTGATTGTCGATTCATCAGTCGCACAGCTCTGCCAGCAACATCAACAGCATCAGCATCAGCAACAGCAACTTTTGCTTTAATAAAAGGAATACTCAAAGAATCTCATCATGAACTTCTACAAGATCTTCGTCTTTGTTGCTCTGATCCTGGCCATCAGTGTGGGACAGTCGGAGGCCGGTTGGCTGAGAAAGCTTGGAAAGAGACTTGTAAGTCTAAAACAAAGTCAATAATTAATATAGAAGCTAAAATATATAATTCTCTATTATAGGAACGCGTTGGCCAGCACACCAGAGATGCCACAATTCAGGTTGTGGGAATTGCTCAACAGGCCGCCAATGTGGCAGCGACAGCCAGAGGATGAACATGATATTAATTTTACACCCGACACCTAACTTTTAAACTTATTTATTTTAATTTTAATTTTGTATTTACGAGAATTAAAAAAACGTTAAATGAAGTATCTTGCCTAATTAATTAGTTACTTAATTGGGGTTTAAGAAGACGGGCGGACAGAAAGACAGACATAGNTCCATTCGATTTATTTTTGCTAGTGAAGTTAACTGACTATGTAATATTACAGTTTAGACCACAACACCAGGGAACTTTTAACAATATACCGTTTTAGAAATTTAGTCCGAGATCAGAATAATTTGAAACATTTTTCTGAGTTTTTCCCATTTTACATTCGACTAAATTTTAATATTATTACTATAATCAAAGATTATTCTATGCATCAACATATGTACATATATCTGTTTCTTCTTAATGTATGTAAACGAAGAGAATAATTGGGATTCCAGCTCCTTCAACTAATTATTACTTTTAACTAAACATCACTTGACACTTCAATTTATTCTTGTTTTAATTTTTACCATCTATTGTCGGCACGTCTGCTGTTGTTCGCTGTTGAACTGAAACGCTTCAGACATTTAATAATTACTTCTACTTAAGAATAAACACTATGCATTTTCCCTCTTGCCCGCTATAATTTCGAATCTCTCTTAGCTTGCCACGGTACAGCCACCTAGGGGGATTCCGATCTGATCCAATTCCTCTCTTGTACGTTTTTGCCGGAAAAATCCCCGACTGCGGGTTATCAGCATTGCTTGGAGCTTGGAGCGCTGTACTGATGGAAGACAAGGCACTATAAAAGCTCCCTCTTTTGATTGTCGATTCATCAGTCGCACAGCTCTGCCAGCAACGTCAACAGCATCAGCATCAGCAACTTTTGCTTTAATAAAAGGAATACTCAAAGAATCTCATCATGAACTTCTACAAGATCTTCGTCTTTGTTGCTCTGATCCTGGCCATCAGTGTGGGACAGTCGGAGGCCGGTTGGCTGAGAAAGCTTGGAAAGAGACTTGTAAGTCTAAAACAAAGTCAATAATTAATATAGAAGCTAAAATATATAATTCTCTATTATAGGAACGCGTTGGCCAGCACACCAGAGATGCCACAATTCAGGTTGTGGGAATTGCTCAACAGGCCGCCAATGTGGCAGCGACAGCCAGAGGATGAACATGATATTAATTTTACACCCGACACCTAACTTTTAAACTTATTTATTTTAATTTTAATTTTGTATTTACGAGAATTAAAAAAACGTTAAATGAAGTATCTTGCCTAATTAATTAATTACTTAATTGGGGTTTAAGCAGACGGGCGGACAGAAAGACAGACATGGCCTATCGACACAACTACAGATACTGATCTAGTATATGTACTTACATACATATGTACGTATATAGCCACTAAGCAGCGTCTAAGTATACATACGTACTCGCATGATTTTGATCGATTTTAAATTTAATTCATCTATGAACATATGGGCGTAGACAAACTAAATTAAATGTCAATAAACTCAATAAAATACAAGTAAACATAAAATGTACTTTTTTGACATATCGTTTCATGAACTTTGCAGTGAACGCCATCTCAATTCAGCAAAATTTAAGTTTTATGGTACTCTTTGTTTTTATACCCGGTACTCGAAAAGTAAATAGGGTATATTGTATTTGTGGGGAATAACGGTTGTATGTAACGCACAGAAGGAGACGTTTCCGACCCCATAAAGTATATATATTCTTGATCAGCATCAATAGACGAGTCGATAGAGCCATGTCTGTCTGTCCGTCTGTCCGTCCGTCCGTCCGTCCGTCTGTCCGTCTTGTTTGTCGTCTAGTTCTCAGCGCCTATAGGAGCTGGAGCACCCAAATGTTGCATCCAGACTGCCATATGAGCACACGCACCGCCCCGTCTACAATTTTGAAGATAAAAGAAAACTAAAAACTCCATTTCGTAGGGAATGCCCACATCTATCAGATCACCAAATTGGGATCATTAATTATTATAGCCACAATGAAGAAATTAATTTGCAGTGGCTAAACCCACCCCGTCCCGCAGCTTATATTTGTTTTTTGCACATTCTCTCATTCACACTCTGCTTCGCGCAGACACGTCTCTGTCTCTGCCGCGTCTCTGCCCTGACTCTGCAGTGTGTAGCTCTAAGGGAGGGTGGCGAGCTAAAGGAGCGTGTTGGCGTGAGTGTTGTTGATGTAGATGACAGATGAAGAAAAAATATAAATTTGACAAATAACCGCTAAGGTGCAGATGTATAACTGAGTGCCGGGTATAAAAGTAAGAAGCGTCTCACACGTCCCTTCTCGTTTACTGTTAAGTTTTCCATATTCTAGAAGGGCGATGATTCATCAGAAAAGTTCCTTCGCAAAGTCCGTCTAACAATTTAAACTATCAAACAAATACAAGTGAAGTGTTATTAAAAAGGGAATTTTTTGACAGAGGTTTGAATTCAATTTACTTAAAACTAATAAACATATTGCGTAAACCCATAACCATTTAAACTATAGTTTTTAATTATAGTTATGAAAAAATATTCTACACAC